GTCGTCCGCCGCTGTGACCGAGTGACTCGGCTTGAGTTCCTGCCTTTCCACTTCCTCCTGGCTACCGCTGTGAGTGCCTGTGGCGCACAAAGGCTGAGTGGCACCCCTTGGGGAGACTAGTGCTCCTCCAGGACTCCAGTGGAGGGAAGACAGCGGGAAGTAGGATTCAGTCTCTCTCTGTCTCTCTCTCAGTCCGAGACAGGGTTTCTGACCTACCTGGACGTGTCAGTGGGGAAGATCGTGGCAGCTCTAAATGCTCGGGCCGGTCGGCTGGACGTCATGGCTCAGAATCCTTACAATGCTGTCATCCACCTCGGACACAGCAACGGTCAGTCTCCGCTTCGCCTTGACTCTCTGATCATCCTGACCTGATTTTCTTCTGTATTTACACTTCCTGAATTCTATAAAGTTCTCGTTTACTTTCTTCTCTCGTTACCTCTTAGTCTTACACCCCCGTCTTTCCCAGATTTTGTCATCTCAGGGTTAGGTGAGCCTTGAAGAGCAGGGAATGCAGTGTGGACATCTCTTCTGCGAATGATTTCTCACTTTCTCTCTCTCTGTGGTGAGCACATGCATCCTACAGGGAAAAAATAACAAGTAAGAGAGAGAGACTGGATTCCACATGGTGACTGTGGTCTGAATCCCTGGCCCAGTCCACCCTAAACATACTGGGGATGTTTGTGAGTGCCTGGGACCCAGCAGACTGGAGGACTGGAGAAGGGAACTGCAGCACGACTAGGCACTGTGGAGCATGCCCTGCCCCCTCTCTCTCATGTGCGTACTCACACGCTTTATCACAAATAAAGGGAAACAGTGTTAAAATCATGCTTAGCCTATGGGCTGTACAAGAATGGTGGACCAAATTTGGCCTATAGATGGTATTACTGTTGGATTCTCTATACATTTTTGTACAGAAAAACATAGAAAAATACTGTCATGACTTTTCCGACAAGCTGATAGTTTGCTGAGCCCTCGTAAAGCTGTTACAGACATTAAAACGAACTGAAGCAGGGGGCCTAGGAATAGGAAGCTCCGTGCTCATCACTGTCATCATCAAGAGGAGAGCACTCTCCAGTGGAAAAGCGTTCTCACATCAAGGTTTATAGTGGCATTATTCAGGATTGCTAAGACACGGAACCATCTAAATGTCCACGAACAGATGAATGGATTGAAAAAGTGTAGCACGGGACCAGCAGTTAGTGTAATGGCTAAGTCGCTGGACTCCCATGTAGTGAATCGCGGTTCGAGTCCCGGACCCGGTGGCTTAAACTCACGCCGGGCGCATGTGCTTGCGTGCCCAAGATCCCGAGAGGAGAATGGAGGAGAAGGGATTGTGGTGTGGCCATAACCCCTGGGGGGGTGATTTCTTGCTTTCTATCTCTCTGTCTGTCTCTGTCTTTCTGGTGAGCGCACATACCCTGTAGGAAAAACCTCTCCAAAAAAAGAGAAAAAGTGTGGCACATATGCTCTATGGAATACTACTCAGCCATAGAAGACAATAAGACCCTGGCATTTGATAGAAAGTGATCGAATATGGAAGATTTATTGCTGCATGAAGCAAGCCAGGCTATGAAAGAGAGGCATTGTATATCTCCACTTAATATATACTGACTGTCTGCACTCTAGGGTAGAGTTTGAAAGATCAGAGGACATAAAAGCATTGAAAATAGGAAAAAGAAAAGGGGACCAGCAGGTGGCATGGTGCTCGACTCCCACGCGACCAACTGCAGTTTGAATCCTGGACCTGGCAGCTTGCTTTCTCACTTTCTCTTTGGCTCTCTCACTCGACTTCTCCCTGGTCAAATTTAAATAAATAAATGGTAAGTAAATAAAATTAAATAAAATAATTTTAAAAAAAGAAGAAGAAGAATGGACTGCAGGGCCTAGGGTTCATATTTAATGCTTCTACCCCTCCTATGTCCTCTCCAGCCAAACTTTGCTTCAATCATCACTGGAGAAATCAGCTTTGCTCAAGGAAAACTTGAGACCCTCCCCACCCCGGTGGTGCCCAAGTGTCTCTCATTTGCTGCCTCCGTGGGTCTCTTCCTCTGCTCTGCTCTCAGGAGTTTGGGCACCCAGGCACACGTGCCAGTGTCACTTTCAAGCCCCTGGTCCAGGACTCAAACCACAGTCAATTACATGGGAGTCCAGCACCTTAACCACTGTGCCACCTGCTGGTCCCACATGTCTTTGAAGAAACCTTACTTTGAGATTCATATTAGTACTTCAAATCATCTTTTCTGAGACGGAAATGAAATCTTTTGTCTATTTTGGAAAATAGATTTCCTTCTCTCCTTTTCCCTGTCACTTCTCTGTCTTTTCTCTTCCTGTTCTCCTTTACTGTCACCCTCCCCCCTGCCCCAGTATCCTTTCATCCCTCTAAGAACACAGATCATACACCAAGGCTCACAAGTCAACAGCCCGTATATCCAACATGACCTGAACAACTACCTTAAAATGCATCACATTAAAAAATAACATTCTGTTGCCAATATGATTTTGAGATTTTTTTTTTTTTACCCTGAAATACAAATTCTGGAGCTTCTCTTAAAAATGTCTTAGACTTGACAACCACAGGCCAGCAGCATTCCACGCCAACCGTCTGCTGGGTCTAGGGAAACTCTTGCCTGCCTTAACCCCCGTTGAGCCTGCTTCGCTCACATGTATTACCTGGCTGCCCCTGTGGGAATTTGCACTTAAGATTCTTGTCACCACGAATGTTTGAATAGAGTAGTTAGATATAAAAAAACATGTTTCTGAGAAACGATAGATGTATAAATGTCAATATTGTTTTCTATTTATATACAGTTTCCAGTGTTCTACATATGGTAGCTAAAATGAGTTTTTTTCCTTCCTCTTCTTTAGTTTTTGGGCATAAATCCCTTCTTGTTTTCACAGCAACATTAGCTCAAATTTGCAGATACTGTGTGGGATTATTATTACTGTTTTTTCTTTAGAGAGATTTTTTGCTATAGGGAGTTTGTGCTTGTACTCACCAGAGACAGTGAGAGGGAAAGTGAGAAATCCTCTCCCAGGGAGGATGACCGCAGTCCCTTCTCCTCCATTCTCCTCTCAGGATTTTGGGCACACGTGCACATATGCCCACTGTGATTTTCAAGCTGCCAGGTCTGGAACTTGAACTATGGTCAGCCATGTTGGAGTTCAGCACCTCAACTACCGTGCCATCTGAAGGCCCCTGTAGCAGGAATCTTTTTTTATTTTTTAAGAATTTATTTATATAATTTTTCGGGATTATTATTACTGTTTTTTGTCTAGAGAGATTTTTTGCTATAGGGAGTTTGTGCTTGTACTCACCAGAGACAGTGAGAGGGAAAGTGAGAAATCCTCTCCCAGGGAGGATGACCGCAGTCCCTTCTCCTCCATTCTCCTCTCAGGATTTTGGGCACACGTGCACATATGCCCACTGTGATTTTCAAGCTGCCAGGTCTGGAACTTGAACTATGGTCAGCCATGTTGGAGTTCAGCACCTCAACTACCGTGCCATCTGAAGGCCCCTGTAGCAGGAATCTTTTTTTATTTTTTAAGAATTTATTTATATAATTTTTATATATTTATAAATTTGACACTATATTTTTTTTTTGAGAGTTTTTTTTGCTATA